GACTCCTAGATCCCTGGCTCTGGTTACAGTGCCTACTTCGAATTGCCCCATCTTTAGAGCCTTCAATGGTTCCTGGGTTTGAAGCTAACCGGAGTTGACGGCCTGCCAGTAAGTCTTCTTACGCGTCTCAATATGCGCGCGACCTTTTAGTGTCTCGTTGCCCGATAAACACTCGTGGGAGTCGTAAACGTTTATTGGCGAATCGTGGTACTAGATAGTACCGAAAAGTGCCAAGGTGACTCTAAACAATACAAGCAATAAATGCAGTAACAAAGCGAATGCGTGTCACACGTGTAGCGTGGGTTTGAATAGGACCCAGCATATATATACACCTGAGCGGAAAACCGTGCTCAGTAAAACAAACAGAAGTAAAACAAAGAAAGTATCACAGTTCGAGTCAGAGTTGATTGTGAAGAACATATGATCGGAAAACGTCCTCGTGGATTGCTCTTTTTCTTCGTACAATCATGGTCACTACAGGTTCTTGGCTCTTTGCTGCATTCAGTGGCAAATCCCATGTGTGTGATCACTGGACTACTTTCGCAATATGCTCTTCTAATTTTGACCTTCCACTAGATCTAACCACCTTTACATCATCAGCGAAGTTGAAGTAAGTTGAGGTGGTAATTTCGCCTAGACCATTTATGAACGGCAGAAAGAGAAGCGGGCTTAACTCCGACGCTTGTGGCACGCCACTAGTGACGTGATGGACTGGTGACATATGCCCTCCTACTTTGAAGCAAAATGTCCTATTGGTCAAGATTGCTGCTATCCAATTATAGACTGTCCCTGTTATTCCGAAAACACGTAGCTTGTATAGAAGCAATCTACGACTTAAGGAATCGAAAGCCTTACTGAAATCTAGGTAACATACCTCTACTGTTCTGCCTTCATCGACCCTCTCTGTGACTTTGTCGAGGTAACGTTAGAGGTTGGTCAGGCACGACCTGTTTCTCATAAAGCCATGCTGGGACACGCTAAGTAATGTATATTCTAAAAGGTGGATACAGACTTTAGTCCTAATTAGCTTTTCCATGAACTTGCATAGAACACTAGCTAGACTAACTGGTCTGTAGTACTGTGGGTTAGATCTACTGCCACCTTTTTTTAATGCCACCACTACCGCAGTTGTCCAGTCATCCGGAAGCACACCCTCCTCCAGTGATTTTCGAAACAACACCCTTAAGGGGTCTGCTAAGATGTGGGCAATTGGTTTCACTATGGCAAAATATATGCCATCGGAACCCGGGGCCTTATTTATGTCCAGCTCCCCTAACACCTTTTGCACATCTAATGCGGATACCTGCATCTCTTTTATGCTCGGCGGAAGAGAGGTCGGGGAGCTAGGTTCTAATATCCTGCTGTCTAGCCTGTGAACACTCGTAAAATGGTTGCCTAATGCGACTGCCTTGCTGTAGTCGTCTGCCAAAATCGTGTTATTTTCCAGGACCAAGGCACCTATGGCGTCCCTCAAGTTTCTTTTCGATTGAACATATCGGAAAACCTTCCGGTTTCTGCTTTACATTTTTCGCTAACTCATATTTTCTCTTTTCTAATCTTATGAGACTGACTGTCTTATTTCTTTGGACCGTATAGTTTGTCCACGCCAGCTGGGTGTTGACCTGTCTGTAGTGCCTCCAGCATCTGTTTCTTTTCCTTAGTGCTCTCCTTATTGCCAGAGACCACCATAGGTGCTTATTATAAGCTTTCCCTATTTTAGGAGGGGCGAACTCATCTTGAAGTTCCTGTAGGTTACTCTTGATTCTATACCAGAGAGCCTTGACTGTAAGCCGGTCATTTTCTGCTCCCCATTCTAGAGTTAAGGCTCGTGTCATTGAGCCAGGTTTTATAAGGGTGAATACACGGGGATGTTCCTCCAAGACAATTTGCTTTATTTCTAGAACTTTGTTCGAGGGGCTAAGAGAGTTGCTAGAAATGCATTTAAGTATGCATTTATCAACACTCTCAGGTCTGGTACGGAGGAAGGCGGGACCGGGTGAGCGGTCGGAAGGTATCTCACC